TTAAAATACATAATCTCACCTAACCTGAAATGTAGGCCAAGGCTAAAGAGGTGAAATCATATTAGAATGACACAATTCAGAAACGTCTTAATTGTCATGAAATGACAAATAGCAAATGGGGTCGATTATGTTTGTAGGACAGCCTCTCTGTCTTCAGTGAAAACACATTCGCTATTGTAACTGGATATCGATCCTGATGCTATTGATTAATAAGGATCGATTATATCTTGTGTTTAGAAGGGACTACCCACAATGCCACAGCTGGAATTCATATGTTTGCAATGTTGCATTTATATATCCCTGAAATGAACTGTGGAGTAATAAAGATGATCAGACTCACATCTGGAAAATGATTTTTTTTTTTAAGTCACGTTGTATATTTTAACCTGAAACTGAAAATCTGTAATACATCTGGAGCTACTAGTCAGACTCTGAACCGATAAAATCTCCTGTTTTCGAAGTATATACACCTCCTGCTGTCAGTGTGACACATGTAGCAATCACATCTTCTGTCTGCTATGATTCTGCTAGTGTGAGATTGAAGAAATGAGGGCCGAGATGGACGAGATGCGAGACACTTTCTATGAAGAAGACACTTGCCAGCTCCAGGAAATGAGGCGTGAGCTAGAGAGAGCCAATAAAAACTGCAGAATCCTGCAGTATCGTCTGCGGAAGGCTGAGAGGAAGAGGCTGCGCTACGCCCAGACAGGAGAGATCGATGAAGAGTTGCTCAGGAGTCTGGAGCAGGACCTAAAGGTAGGGGAGGGGAGGAGATGACTCTGTGTGTTAAGGCTAATATGTTATGTATGGGAGGTTTTAATGTAGGCTAATACGAACCATCACGTTAGTTCAATTATTATGCATTTTACAGCAGTAAAAATCAAGTATAACAGATTATTACAGCAGGTTCAGGTTATGATTATTACAGGTAGCAAAGGATGTGTCTGTGAGGCTCCACCATGAGCTGGAAAAAGTGGAGGAGAAACGCACTAAGACGGAGGAGGAGAACGAAAAGCTGAGACAGAAACTCATAGAAGTGGAAGTGACCAAACAAGCCCTGCAGAATGAACTAGAAAAAACCAAAGAGGTGTGTAAACGCTTCCCCACATCCATCACCATACATCAGAGGAGCGTTAAATGCAATGTGTCATAAATGTCCACATATATGAATATTAAATGATCGACCAGCCACTTCATTAGGTAATACCTGAGTTGAACTTCAGCAGGTCACATTGATCATTCACTGAGTTACTCCCACGTGATTGGCTGAACAGATATTTGCTTTAATCAGCAGTTGAGTGGGTATACTTAACAAAGTGGCCAGTAAGTGTACGCATACAAGTATACTCGTGCATACATTAAGAAGTCATAATTTAATTTCAATTGCAATGTCCTCTTATAGTCTCAAAAGAGAAGAGGAAGCAAGGACGTCCAGAAGAGTGACAAGAAAGCAGCACAGACTCCCACTGAGGTGAGATGCTGTTATGATTAAAAATAATTATTTTTATTTTGTGTATATTTATACATTTTTGGCATAAATGCTTACCTTGCCTAAACTGATGCAGATAACTGTTAGGAGGTAGTTCTCTTAGGAAAATGTGTAGTCTCATGTGAACTGATGTGTGAATATTTAGTCCTGAATCAGTTATTTTTAAACATGCACTGCAGCCTGGAGACTTAGACATGACCTGGAGTTAAAATGCCGATGTATTGAGCAGTCAGGCCAAAGAATAAACAGCTTTTACCTGCAAACTCTCAGGGTCCACACCTGAGATTTTGCATATGAGCT